TTCTACGATGCTCCACACAGATACTGTAACCACAGGCAGCATCAAAAGCACAGGACATCTTAAACTGGGCATGAGCTAAGACACAGCCTTGCTTCATACCATAGATAACAGCAAGGTCTTTCTAGGCTTGTCCACTTAGCTGCACCCTCACCCGCATATCACTGTGCAGACATTTACTTAAACTTACAAACCTACTCGGACAACCAAACTTACTCAACTCCAGCCACAGTGCCTCGCGCTTCAGCGTATCAAATGCCTTGGTGAAGTCAACAAACTGCAAGTACACTGGCTGTTGTCGCTCTTTGCATTTTCCCTACAACTGACGATGCCGCGAACACCATATCTATAGTGCTGCGTCTCGAACGGGATCCGCATTGCTCTTCCTCCACGTTCGTTTCAGCGACCTGAGTAGCGAGACGGTTGAGCAGGATTCGGGTAATCAACTTGTTCACACAACTCATCAAGTTGATACCACGGTAATTGATGGCAACTTTCTTGCTCACTATGCACTTGTACAGTGTTAGCAAAATGGCATCCTTCATATCGTCCGGCACTTCCTCTTCAATCCACATTCGTTGCACATAGTGGTGTAGCGCATTTACCAAGTCAGGTCCGCCGCGTTTCAATACTTCAGGCGGGATCCCATCGCAACCGGCACACTTGCCGTTTCGCAGCTGGGCAAATGCCCTCTGCGTCTCATTCAGTGTCGGTGTATGGGCAAGTCCTATCTTCATCTCTTGCTGTTGCAGCCCGTTCAACACAGCCTATTAGTGCTGCTTACGTGACTAGTCACAAAACCACATTGGGCACTAATATAAATGATAGTATTGTAGATAAATGATACATGGAAGGGAGACTTATCGCCCGTGCTTGTGTGATGGCAGTACATCCAAGTCAGACCGCTGACGGTTGCGACGATGGCTGCGTCGGTCCCTGTGCACCTGAATGGAAGCGTATGTATCCGTTGTGCGGTTGTCCAGTTGTGTGTATTGCGTCTCGATGTGACGGGTATACTTGCTTTGTTTATGGATAGTGCATAACCGCCCGTGGTTGTCGCGTGCCTTGACACGCCGACGTGTAAATGGCTACAGGTGTAGTTTTGACATCGGTGTGTGAATCACATGGTGTAGATCACGTGATGTGTTAATTAGATTTTGCCGTGTTAAAGTGCAATTCCCAAAACGATGTTGTAGACGGACCTAACAAGCCCAACCAATCAGAACGGTTGTTCAAGAGACAAAGTGCTTCGCCAGATCTGCATTATGTGTAGTCTGTTTACAATCTGAAGTAGCATCGAGCAGCGTCCTCTGCGGCTACAACGTTGGTCCATACACCACCTAGGAGTCAAGTAATTTTTTCTAGTGACGGCGTTCAACTTTGCATTCCATCTGCTTCGCTTTCTCCGTCCAACATGCATCCTCGTTGTTAATCGCCGTCAAAGTTTGCGAAAATGACTTCTTCGCTGCATCGGCAGAGTCCGCCAAATGTGCAGCGGATGCTGCATTGTTCTTCGACACCAATGCGCCAGTGATCGCACTTTTGTCATCGAACCAATCGGGCTGCTTACAGGTTTCGCGCCAGATGGTTTCTTCGGCCGCAGCAATCACCTGTTCACGGATGTGGCACGACAGGTCACTACGCACTGAGGCTATGAATTCGATATCGTCGAGATGGGGAGCTATCGCCAAGTGTAAGTCTAACTAGCTCGCAGACGTCTCCAGCACAGTCCTACGCAAGTAAATAGGGCACACCGCGACAAGCACTGAGGCACCATGCGTAAGACATGACCGAGCCATCTCAACTAGCGCAGTAAAACCAGCTCGTTGAAGGGAATACTCACATTCCAGGGACGCGTCGTCTAACATCCTCTCTATGAACTCGGTGTTGCCACCGCACACATGTGCTACTCCTATCATACACGTTAACTAGAGGTGGGAACACAGCTATTGTGTCGCAATACATGAGGGAAATAGGAGACTCAACACAGACGCGGCAGATGAGCCACCAGTAACGGATGGACATCGTACTGGAAAGTTAGCAGAAGGGTTTTGTGCCACACTCAACATGTTATGCGTCATAAATGAGATCGTGGTTTGAGAGGAGACTAATCAGGAGGGGAAGGGACAAAGAAACACAACATGAACGCCATTGCGGTTGGATCCTAGCCATATCAACAAGTGTATACAACCAAATGTGTTGGTCTTTCGGGCCCCATCTAGGAAGTTGAGCGACTCGAACCAAGGCCAATTTCGAACTAAGGACCTTCATTTCTCTTGACCATGTCGTGGGTTGGCCTCTGTTTTTCCTCTTCCATCCACACCCCTGTCGTGCAAACGACGCACGTCGCGGGAGTCGGTGAGCTGGCATGCGGAACAGGTGGCCCAACCATCGGAGTCTAGTACATGAAAAACGGTGCTGAGCGGTTCACTTTCTCTATCTGTGCCATAAACAAGACGCCGAACACGCTCATTCTCCACACGGTGTTCCCAACAGATGTGAGCCATACTGCGAAGGCACTGATGGTCGAACGTAAGTAGCTACTTTACGTCTGCTAATCTTATGAGCCAGGTATCACAGCCTTACAGTAGGACCGAACGTACGGCTACATTGTACACTCTACCCTTCATGGAGAGAATGATGTCGCGCCGATGCCATAGGGGGCGAAGATTAACAAAAACGCCTCTAGCTTTTGCTGTACAATTCGTGACAACGTCTTCTATTCTACTGGCGCTGATACCACTGCCTAGTTAGTTGAATTTCTGAACCACTTCCAGATGATCCGTACTGAGAGTCCTCGCAGGAGGCGGTCTCTGTCAATCTTGAAGGAAATCTTTGCATTTTGATAGTGCAAAGCAAAGCCTGACACCGCTGACATCCAGTGCAAATCTGTCTAGTGGTGCTTGACACGTCTGTGAGCTGTCACAAATGAGGGTAATGTTGTCAGAATATTCCAATTCAATAACTTCTTCACATATTCGTCACATATAGTTTCACTAACACCAAGTCTCCTACTGCCCATTTACCTTATCAGACGGAATAACGACGGTTACCGACGGCAGCGGCCACTTCCATTTCCGGCACACGATGGGACCACTAGGCTTCTCGGTCTATATTCAGGCTAGCACGCAGTTTCGCCTTGAGGTCTTTGCGGGTCATGTTGTGTTCGCTTTCATTCGTAATATACCAGCGAGAATGTATAAATAAGAGGCTGCAAAGAGACCCAATGTCCAGGTTGGCTATCAGATTTACCACACGATGGCTTGCCTTCTGCTATAAAGGTCTGAAGAACGTACGACCAGCGATCGTCAACTGTATTCAGTGAACTTTTACTCAATCCGAATGCCAGCGTACTTCGATACGCATTCAGAACATCTCAATGGATCCCTGACGCACACAAACCATCGCATCACGTTAAGGTCCTGTCTCGTCACGATTGTCCCATGACGGAAAGACGGCGCATACCCTCCACTCGAATTGGCTAGAACTCACTCCCATGCGACAGCACTATAGGACCGAAGACACTGTAAACACAGCCCTTTAACGAGTTGGGAACGTCCCGTCCACGCCACTACTGCCTCGGATTGGCAAATGTTGACCGGGCTTTAGAGATGCGAATAGAAACTTTGTTGCCGGTGATGCTACCATAAGAAACTGAAATCACCGGACATCCTCCCGATTACGCCAGATGGGTTGTCCGGGTTTTCCCATTCCTGTAAATGGTTCAGCGACTGTGTTTCAGGATATGGTGGGTTTTTGCCCAACAAGCGTTCTACCTATAAAAGGCCGCGTAAGTCCGTTTAACAACACTGTGATTCGCCAACGAATAAACTCACTACCCTTTGCTTCAATCCAGCGGAGTGTTGTATTCCAGCGGCCTCGTGCTGTGATCGTAGGAAGGATTGGGCCCCTGGTTGGCATCCGACTAAACGAAAAGCGAATGAACTGAGCAATCAGTCCAGGCCTCCAATGTGAGCGATTCTATGAATCCGCTCCGATGCCTCACGGGTAGGCTATTTAGCCAACTCGGGTTGTTGTCCCCGAAGGCAACTCCCTACTTCGGCTTGTGCAATCGGATTGTATCACGTCCTCTGCTTTTTCTGCTTCTTGCATTTACGCGACTTCATCACATGCCAGCGATCCTTTTTATCAGTGCATAGGCCTGTCTGCGATTCCGGTTGCACCTCGAACCATGGAGGTCAACCGGTGGTTCTACTTTAATTCTGGTCCTTGTTTCGTCTTGTGTGCTTCAACTCATATGGATTAGTCAGCAAGCCGGAAATCTTGGTTAGACCACTGAGCACGTTTTCAAGCGCATAAGTCGTTGACAGACGGTGGGCTGATACGCCTCCTTAGTGTTTGAACGATAGTCCACACAGATGCCGATGACCATAGATGTTGATCATCCTCTCTCCTTCATTTTGGTTGCAGAAGTGAACGCTCATTAACCCTATAGCTGGTCACCTTAATTTAACTGCAGTGTCGCACGAGCACCCCTGGTTTTTACCTAAAAACCAGAGGACTAGCTCAGAAACCATCAAATTCCGAACGCTGAGGGGGTTGCCTGCAACTGCTTATTCATCTCGCCTACGAACCGACGAAACACTCACGGTTGCCTTCATATGGGAGACAGTTTGCGATTCACCGCTTGAGGATGCGCCCGTACCGTACAACTCCGCCGAATCAACCAGTGGTCGGTTTACCTCCGAGTAGGTATTTATCGCACGTTTCGAGGCAAACCACTAATCTTTGGTTGCCCTATGACCATGCGTATTCACAAGCTCATTGTCTCCATTCATTGGTCGGATTAGGGAGACAGAATAGTTTAGCTGCCTGCTTGTCATTCATTGGACTGCTGGGGACACACCGTGGTACAGTTATGATCCCCTTAGTTTCCTCCTTCCCTCACTTCTCGCGGTTGTTTTTCATTGACTTCCACTACCGTTGTAATATCGGTGTCTGTTCCTTGATACACAATATTCTCCCCCTACCTTTTATTTCAGTATCTGACTCATGCCACGATGGTGATCCTGCTGAAGCCACAGAACAATTTTGTCGTCTATTCATGCAGCGCTATTGTGTAGACGGCGAGACAATGGCCCCGCCCTTCATCACTGGCAGTCTGGAGTCCGCTTTACAATCTTCGGTCGGCACTGTTAATGTTTCCACTGTATGTTTTTCTTGCCTTTTGATAGTGTTTCGACGTCTTACTTTTGTTAATCGTGTTTGTGTTCATGATTTGCACCACATTCTATTGTTAGCGCCAAAACGTCATAAGTCTGTTCCTCCAACTTATCTTAGCCCTTTCATGGAATTAGCATATCAAATTACATAGGTATCACCGATGTGAAAGTCTTCAAATTGAAGCCCAACCAAACTGAAACATGCGTACTTTGCGATCTTCTTGAGCGAAAGTCACAGCAGAGACCCGAAGATACAGCACGTTGTCACTTGTTTGAATACCATTTGACCCATTCTTAGAGTATTCGTACGTAGATATTATTCATTTTGACGTTTCACCTTATCCGCTTGCTTCGGTAAGTGACTCGGTTGAAGTTTACTGTTCCTTTGTGTTTGGCTTTTATTTCAGCAGTTTGTGTTAACTTTCAACTGTATGCTTGCATTACGTTAAGTCTCTCAAGCTTTACCCTGCCTTTGGATTTTGCTCCTCACATCGATCCGCACGCAACTAGTCCTATCTATATCTGGGCTTCTCTATCAATGAGTTGTGTGATCCTCTGTGACAGCATATTTATCACCGAAATTTTTTGTAAATCAAGTGAGCGGCGTCCGACTAATTTCTTTGATAACACGACTCATTTTTGCCAGTTGGGACTGTTTCTGACCGCGTGATGTCCGGTATGTACTTTAGAAGTTTCATGTGACATCACTCATATGGCTTACACGTTGCCTTATTGACTGTTATTGAGCTTGGACCTTACCTCGTCGCACTGTGTCTCGCGGACGCAACATTCCGATTGTTTAATCCTGACACAACATAGCCAGCTTAGTGTAACTTTATCATGCTTTCTTAACCGTAGGTTTTTCGTCTGGCTTTTTCTGTTTCTTATTCCGCTTCGGTTTAACATACGACCTTTTTATACTTTTGTCTACGTTTGGCTTGCATTTCTTTACTTGTACACATAGCGGAAGCCGCTTTTCATTTATTTGCACAACGATGAGAGCATCGCTTGCCATGTGTTCTGCCAACAAATTCTTTGTTCAACCGAGCTGTGCCAATTCTTTGGTGAAAACGACTTTTCTGTCTGGCCGTGGGACGTAACACGGCCGCGTGCAAAGGAAAGACTCCTGGGCTGGCTGGAGAACAAGATCCCAAATTTGTCGAATGTGATTAAGCCGTTGACGGTAAGTGACCAGTTTCGGCTCCACCTACCTAGGGTTTGATTGCCCTTCACTCCATTTGTTTACTAACCATGGCATTGTATAGACCTCATGCACTGCATCACGCATGGGGAAGTAGAATAGCCACATGACATGGCGCATTTTTAGGTCAATCGCAACCTCCTCCCTTGTGACTAACAGTATTTCGGGGGATTCCATGTGTCCTTGGGCTACAAAAATAACTATTTATGCATCGTTTTCATCATCATCAACGATTTCTGCTTGTTTGTTATCATGCAGTCGTCTGTTGATTACTAAATATTGTATTATGGGATCAAGTAGATATTTAAATCTGTTCGACTCCATCGAAGTATGATCGAAAACGTTAAAAGAAACTTTCTAATAACGTACGCAATTGTGAAATGTCGTTCTCGGAATCTAACACTGAACTGATCTTTCTATTATATGCTCCAGCAAACTATTACAGAGACCGAGACCACTCGCCGTTCAAAGCGCATAGGGTGAGACACTTTCCAAATCCGGCACTCAAGCTTGTGTCGTTGTTCGCGTGCGCTGCAAGCTGTTCGTAAAGGGAGCAGTGGCTTTAGCATGGGGAACTCACCTAGATGTAGAATGCTGTAGTTCATAATATGGTCGACTCGCACCCGACGATTGGAATTTCTTGACGGGCTTCGAGAGACTAGTGAGTTCGTGCGGAGATCCAGTAGTTAACACGACTACTAGTGAAAGTATCGACGAAGGTTGCAGAGTTGTGCATTTCCATGTGGATGTGTTCTCAGTACGTCTCAATGTCTGACCAAAAGGCATTCTTGCATTTCGAAATCAACACATCCTGAAAGGCACCCATAACATTCGGGGCAGAAAGCTTAGCTACATCAAGCCGTTTCCAAAGACACTGTTGGATGCCACCGATTTGAGGCATGTACTCCAGATTGACGTTCATTCCTTAGTGCCACCCCGCCAGTAGTTACTGATGATGATATCGTCAATTTGCTTTTACTGTTGTCCATACGAGGGGGGTCTCCAGATGATGCGTTGCCGCCAAGATCTTAGAAACCAGCTACTTAGGTGAATTAGGCCATGAGCGGCGCGGAGCTGAATTAGGCGATCACCGTTACTTCTTCTCTGAATACCATGACCATATAGGCCACCGAGTACACCTACGTCAACTTTAAGTCTGCTGACCTGCTCGTTTAGATCTCCGGCGAGCACAGCGATCTCTACGTGTAGAACTTTTTCGAAAGTCGGAGTGTTAGCAATAGAACTCCTCGTTATCTGTAACAGGGCTGCAGCCGCAACAAAATAACTACGTCTGCTGGCTCCGCGGTTGTGCGATCGTGCTGAAGTTGCATTGTGGACTCATACAGGGCCGGCTGTTCACAGCGATTCAGGCGAGTAGGGCAGCCTCAGCACTTGTGCTTAACGCAATCCAAACCCCGGCATGACCGACGACTTCGGCAGTTGGGTCTCCAGATAATCATAACATAAAACTCTCAGCAGAACTCGCATACGATGATACCAGCCGTTGCATTGTACTAGAATCCTGCAAACAGGTCTCAGTGAGACAACAAATGTTAATTACAGAAGTTCCAAGTGTGCGTGCAGGGGCTGCCCGTGATCCGATCTACCTCAACATATTAACATCAAAGCTAACTAGCTTGAATTGGGAACGACGCGCTAGAAAAGACTTGTCGGTGCAATTGAATGGCATACCCTTGGACCCAAACTCCTGATGCGTGTATGGAGAACTCTCGCTCAAAACAGCACCATGTTGTGGATTCGAAAACGGATGGGTAACTAATGATAAAGGGATTTAAAGATGGAATAATGTACCTGGAATGTGGTTGGTATAGCGCAGTTTTGCGGATTCGGCTACCAACACCTCGGCCAAAGTTAACAGTTCCAGAGAACAGAGAAATGTTGAATCTTTGGTCCATGGATAGTGTGTGCATGGTACTTTTCGGCTGCGCAAGTCGAGGAAGTAGGTTGACTTATGGGACTCTACCCGGAGGCTTGAGCCATAAATGCCTGACCCGCAAGGCACGAAGGCCGTTGACATCCGATTGGCTTATGCGCCGTTATGGTTTTCAATATACGTAGCATCTGGTGTCTATCAAGCTAGTGCATCCGCTCTCCGTTGTGTACTGACTTCCGGCTAAATAACTGAGTTTGTTAATGACCTTCTAGCCGGTTACCTAAGCCACGACACAGGATCATACTAGTTCTTAGGGTATTTAATGAAAACCAGGTTGCCAGCCCAGAATCCTCCACAGATGGTCCTCGACTGCTTATTTTCTCAACTGCGACAGACGTTTCTTATTCTCGGTTACCTTAACATAGAAGGCATTCCCAAATCCGCGCCTGAAGTAGACCTATTACTCGTTGGCTCGGCGGCACTGAACGCTACCGGGCACTTTTCAAGGGTGCGGATCTTGTAATTCCTTCCTTGTAAAGGTAACTGTGAATAATACTCGTCTGTCGCTGTCGTGAAAAATAAACGGTCGCGGACAATCTGTGGGGGATTCTGGGCTGGTCACCTGGTTCTCCATTAAATACCCTAAGAGTTCATATAGCGCTGCCATACAGCAACACTGAACGAACCGAGGCACTGTAAATGGTGTCCTTTACCGAGATGGAGACGTCACCGCGGCTCCACTAATGCATCCGATTGACAACTGCTGATTCGGCTTCAGCGATGCGGATAGAAACTTCCTTACCGATAGGGCAGCCAGCAGTAACCTAGCTTCCTGGGTAGACGGAACCATTTTCCTGTTCGAGCTGGGCACATTCAAGGATAATGAGCACGTGAACGGATGTGGACCAGTCCTGAAACAGCACTTTACACTTCGAGAAGGCAAAGCCAATGTCATACCTGGATGCTTCGACTACCAAACGATTCATAATGAGTTGCATACGCTGCGGACCGTCACAAGTGAGGTGATATCATCAGTATAATCTCAGTGAATGGCGCTGTCACTCGGTAAAAACTCTGAGGCAAAGTTTTGGAAGCCTTTTAAAGCTCTTGATTGTAATAATGAACAGGAACGGGAACATAGGGTAGCCTTGTCACACACCGCTCCTGAAAGCCGTAGACATGACATACGTGCACCTAGGATGTCGGATACTCCTCTGGGACCCCGTTCTTTAGCAAGCAACGTCATAAAGCAAATCGATCAACCGAGTAAAATGCAGTCCGTGTGTCCAGGATTGCGATGATGACGGACCTGTGGTAAAGGTGGCAGTATTTAACGGGTCGACGAAGCGTAAAGATTTGATCCACGACCGAGATGGAAATCAACTTGCTCTTCACGGTAGTCTGTGAAGCAGAATTGATGCCAATAGCTTAGAGGCAACTGAAATAAGACTAATCCTTAGATGATTGACACATGAAGTGCGAACTCCTTAAAAATGGAGACAACTAATTCACTCCGAGAGGAAGGCACTTCATGCCAGATTTTAGAGAATAACGATGTTAGCTGGCTAATGATTGCCACGCTGTTCAAGTATGAACAGCTCTGAAGGAATGCCGCTTTGATTTGCTTCAATTTTTTAATCTCAAGACGGTCTTCCACTTCGCCTGGCGTATCCATTGGAACGAGCGCGTGCGAATATAGCAAAGGGAGCCAGTTAAAATGCGGTCTAAACGCTCGTCGATAATCGGAGACCCATTTGCCTCGCAGTTAACCTCACTGGCGCCAAGCTTATCGATGGTGGTAGACCGAATGACTTGAAAAAAAACTTACGAGTATTTATAGAGAGGACAGCGTTCTCCATCTCCAAAACACGCTCCGACCACTAAGCCTCGTAATACTTGCACAGGCTTTGCTTGAGCAGCCGGTTGACAATCCGGCGCCGTTCATTTTGATCTGATTCTGCTGGGATATCTCTGCGGAAGTCGAACGGCTTCATAGAACGAGCAGAAATTCAGATCTTTAAGGGGCCTCGAAGCTTGATTGTTTGGAATTAGTCATTGCCTTTTCTATACAAATTCAGTAATGACTAATAACTCGGCTGGACCGAGGATGCATTCAATCAGCTCGTATCGAGCTTGCGGTGCTTCTTTTTTGGGATCCCAAAACGTCTGCAGATTTTTTTGCACTGGCCAACGCATGATCTGAATCAATGATGGTGAACCAAAATGACACCATCTGAAGCTGCTTACAATGTGATCGATTTGAGACCACACTTATGTTGGCGAAAAGTGACACTGAGTTGTAGAACGTTTCTTTTTATACTTAATGTTGGTACTCAAGAGCAACATATGTTTTTTTCGCGCAGTGTGAGCGCTCCTCATCGAACGCGTAGTGACCACCAAAGTGACGGCCAACCCGTGCCTTAAAATCCCCAGCTGGGACAACGACATCCAGTTTGTCAGTGTTGTTCAAGACCTAGTGAGGCTCTCGCTGAAAGCAGTCCTTGACCGAGTTACAGCTGCAATCCTCTGGAGTGTGTGCGAAGATCGTATACAGGTTACGTCTTTTGCGATGCCTGTTTATTCTACATGAATCTCGAAGCTGAACTGCACACAATCGGCTGTTTATTGAGAACCAATCCATCAGTGCGATTTTGGCCTTACCACAGTGCTGCATCTACACCAAACAAATCCGCTGAGGTTGCTTCTGAGTCATCAGAAAGATGCAGGTCATATGTGGCTTCTTGGTCGGTGCGGGATGTCAACGTAACCACAGTGCTGGGTCCTGCTATCGGGTTTCGGAAAGCGACAAACATCAATATTGAGTGACTCTAACTTACGCGTTAAACCCACTTGTTGCTCAATCTGCATGATTGTCCGTATGTTGTAGCACGCCAGGCGGAACGAAGATCGTGGTGAAGGTTCACTACTTGAGCTTCATCGCTTGCGGTGCAATTTGCAGATGTATGCGCTGTGAGAACAGGAAGTCAAAGGTAAGACCAAACCGTTGGAGCATGTGGCTAAAGGCTCTGGTGGCTTCGTGGCGAGTGAAAACTGGTCACCTTATAGGTTCCCGGGAAGAAACTTTGAGCTGTTGCTTTGTTTTAACTGCAGGTTGGGCACACACTGTGACCGTAGACTTTCATAGATGGGAGAGAGCTTGCATCGTAGGGAATCGAATAAATATCGCCGTTACTCGTCCACTTATCCACGGACATTTCCTTTTTGCAGCTCCTTCACAGATGAGACACAACCTTCCCGGATATTTTCCCCATGGACTTGGCCCCGTTCTTCCAGCGGGTACTTCAGCAGTGTCACCAGCGCTTCCGTCTCTTTTACTGCTACTGTGCTTCTCTGCTTTGGCTTGGTGTTGGAAACAGGTCGTGAAGGACAAGAAGCTGTTTGTAGTCCCTATTCTCACTGTCACCTGTTCGGCTAATTTTCATAACTGGACCCATTATTAATCCCCAAGTACTGGAAACATATCCCTTAAGTAGAGATAGTTCATCACGGTCACTCTCAGTCAGCCGACTTAGGCTAGTCTGGAGAAGCACCAGACACCGGTGTTTCGACCTTCTGGGTTTCGTCAGTAGTGCGGCTTCCAGTGGACCCCTTCCGGGTTCTGCTCTCTTGACTTCCGGATGCCAGCAGCTAGTGTCACATCCTCATGGGTGACAACCGCGGACTTGCATGATTGACAGTCGACTGTGCTATAGCCCGGTTCATCTTCTACTGCCATGCCAGTTCCGAACCGTGCAGAGGGCAACAGCTAGCCCCACGAGCTGGGACTTTCTGCATAGCGCCGTGGTACAACGCAAGGACTTAGAAGCTATACGTACAGATTTTATATCCCCTATGTACAACCAATTTATGCTAAATTAGAGTGCAATGAGTAAAAATGATTCCTACGAGGTGTTACCAGATTTGCATTTAGAGAAAGATTATTTTCGTTTGTGTTTATTCCTTCTTCATGACTATCTGTAATGAACACTCACTTTTCCATCTTTACTTTTGTTTGACCCATTTCCAATTGTTTGCATCGTATTTTCAGGTCGATAGTTATCCTGTGCTTTCAATGGTTGGAAAGCTCTCCTCCCAACTTGAGGTACTCTGTGTGGTGTTGGGCACTGGAGCCAGCACTAGTATCCTCAACGTAGTTTTAGACGATTCTGCCTTCCCTACACTGGACTCGGATATAAAGCATCGCCTGCGCCCTCTTCCTTCGGCAACCACTGGTAGTCTCAAATCTGATCTTGTATTGGCCGAGTTATGGCAGGCTTACACGACCTATTCGGAATTACTTGCTCCAGAACTGGCTGCAGAGTCAGATCGCATAGCCCGGCAGCGTGTTCGCGAAGAACAAGAAGCAGCCTACCTCGAATCTCTGCGATTGGATCAGCTCAAGGTGGGTCATTGATGCTGCTCATTCGTTTTACGTCATCTCTTCTTGCATTTCTTGTTAACTTCACAGACATCTCATTCGTTATTCACACTACTTTTGAACCAACCAGTGAGTGTTAGTTTTGCGATTATATGATAACTTCTTTTTTCTCACAGCTCAAAACCATTTTGGCTTCTCTCTCACATAGCTCCATCATAGGCTACAATGATTTGCAGTCTATTAATTCTGTTCATTCACCGTCCACTATGGTAGCAACGATTTTTAGTTATGCGTTTCATTTGTGGTATATATTTTTACGCTTCCATCCTCAAGTCAGACCACTTTTATCTGTTACGATGTGCACTCACCGAAATTAGCATGCAGCAGTATAAAGGTACGACTTGCAATGAATCTATTGAAGCTGTTTTTCCCTACAGCAACCCTAGAGTCAACAGGACTTGCTTTATCCAGTGATAGTGTCTTCAGCTGCAGGAGCGGTCTTTTTAAGCAAGTCTCATTTGCCCCACTTTTTCCGAAGTTGACGCTTTAAACCAACTGCCGGAGGGAGGGGTCGTGGAATGTAAACGTTTTCTCGAAATGAACACATTTGTGAACTTCATATACCCACAAATTTCGGTCATTTATTTCTATACTTTTATTCCGCTTGCATTTAGCTTGCCGTAACTCCAATGTGCTCAGGGTGGCTGCCAGTGATATCCCTCAACTTTGTCATTGCACTCAGACGTTGGGTCGGACTCAGCTGCCATATAGCCTCGGATGAATGAAATGACACGTGGCGCTGCACTTTTCGGCATATGCCTTGCACCTTCAAACTCAATGTATTTTTACAGAACTCTCCTGAGACAGGATTTGCTATCATTGATCCAACCACTGAAAGTGGCCAATCGGTTTACGCCTATCGTTAGTTGCATCATCTCTGGTGGTGGTCAGTGCACAAATTATTGACGCTTGTGTGCCTTTTCATAGCATTGGGCAAGGCATCTGCAAAGTGAAGGGGTTCAGGCTTCGCAGTTCGACCTGTGTTGATGTATGAATCAGAGATGCCATCGCTTCGTGCTGTGGACTTTAAGATGCTAACCGGGTTTGACCACCGATGGCTGCAATTTACTACTCAAGAGCATCGACTGGTTAGCACTGAACTTCATCGTTTGACGTTTGTCTACAACCATTCTGGTGCTACAATGCGGTGTCTGTTACGCTCCTTCCGTCTATGCTGGCTAAGTTATATCCTTTATTTTACTGCTCACCAGTTAGCCCGATTTACATATCGTTTGTGTACACTGCGCTCAGTGGTTTGTAACTCTGAGTGGCCAGCCAATGGTATGGGCAAATGGACATGAAGAAACGGTGAAGTACTAGGCTGAGTTAGTTCTCATCACTTTCCTTGATAGAACCTTTGAGATCGGCTGCACCATCCTTTGGATCTCATATCAAATGTGTTGCGGTTACGAAGTCAGCATTTCTTTTCCAATTATTTCGCTTTTCCTACTGGTAACTATTTCACTTGGCGCTTTTATCTTTTCGTTCATTCCCATCTGATTATCATTATTGTTAAATATTAGTATTGTTTTCGCTACTAGTGTCAAGGTAGCTGGATCCACCGCAGTTGACTTTACGGATCGGGCCTGTTCACTGAACTAGACAATTGCGCTGACTTACCTGTCAGTGCTATCTTTTCATGCGACCAGGCCCTCACCGGTGCCCTGCAGTCACACTCGTTCGCTAGGCCTGTTTCCTGCTGTATTGTTTGTCAGATCATTGCATAGAAAGTATTCGTTGGGTTCTGTCACCAGAACAACCAAGTGGGCATTTTTGTATTCATAGTGCACTATCACTAGGGCTCTTTCTACCTCTGCGCATTCTATCTTTCGAGCCCCCACTATTTTGTTCAACCCTTAATAGGGCGCGATCAACCCGGAAGACACACCTAACTCGTCTATCAGACCAACAGTACCAATTCACATTGATTCACGCAACATTCCCGTCATATCAGTCAAGCGACATTGGTTATCATTGCTCACTTTCAGAATCGGTCTTCCTTGTCTTCCAAACACGCGTGTGAACTTATGACTTAGTGCCGTAACTTTTACTACTCGACTCATATTCTGTTGACAGAGAGTACCTTTTTCGAATCACCAGCGTTTGCTTTGCCATAAACAGGACTGCTCAGAGGATCTCTAGAGTGTCACATCCATTGACTGCGTGTAAGTTTCGCAAAAGTTGATCCTTCAGGGTTCATTCGTACTCATCCCATTTTTGACTCGGAACTTGCCTCAACATACACTACTCGGTTGCTGACACTAACAACAACGGGTGTTTGGATTCTTTATTTAACGCATGGAAGCAGACGACACGTAAATCACTTTTGTGTAGCCTAGAAAGAACAAAAACATATTGGTAGTATACCGGTTCACCGTACCGACGCTTCGCTGCCACGCGACCACCACCAATTGCGCGCACAGATTCGTACTCGTGACCTCTGGGTTACTAGGCAGCTGCCCCACTCCTTTGGCCACCAGCCTAACATCAACTAACCAAATATGCCGCGTGGACCGGTGACTACGTATGCTTCGTACAATGGCCGCGCCTGTCAGGATGAATAAACGGTATATTCCTCGACAGTGTAAGTCACATTTCAGCTGAGTAGTCTGCTTATTGTGTACAGCGGAATTGCATGGAATATATGTTTTTCAGAGCAGTTCCCAAACCATTTTACATGTGACTGATTTCTCGATTGAATCTTCCTATTGATTATCGTAAAATTCGAATATGCATCTTGATTGAAAATATAAAAATCTATCTTATAAACGCACAATGATAATTTTAAGTTCGTTGATCAAATTACTGCCTGAAAGATGACTCAGTACATAAATGGTATATTTCACGACCTTGAGAGACAGACGGATTAGTAACCTGATCTTTTTGTACAACATAATCGAATAATGGAGAAAGTTGTTCGAATTTTTTAATGGTCCCATTGGAGTCTTAGGAGTGTTCTACCATTTACATGTAGTAAAAGATGGGGAGTTTGGGAGTAAAAATAAATGTAAGTGTATCCAGCAGTTCAAGTATAATACGGCCATCCATCATCTGGGGACCTGCTTCCATGCGGGGCAATCCCTCGAGAGCGGTCTCATGCTCACTTCCACGCCTCTCATCTGACCATGTGCGGCCCGGGACCCATACTAGACCCTCGTATACCATAACCGAAAAATCGCCCATAACAAAATATTGTGATCTCAGTAATTTGAAGGATCATAAGGACAATCAACTACTAGTTACATTCTGATGATCACTTAATGCGTTTACCAGCGACTTTATAAAAAAACACTTCTGTATCGTCCATTCAGCTGGCAGACTGGTGAATCACTACCTTTCTTGCCCCTACCTCTTTGTTCCTACCCTATGCTCCCATCAAGTGTAGTTTTACGTATTTCCATCAGACCAATAGACAGTGTAGGTGATTACCCTCGGATGCCATCACAAGCCCATTTTATCGATAATTCACATTTTCCCATCCACGCAGCTAAGAATGCTAATGTGACCGTTTTCGCTTTAACATGGGCAAGGTTACATGTTGGGTTTTTGAAGTACGTGCCGTGTATCTTGGGTTGCGATCACTGGGACCGTATCGGATTGTCAGAGACCTACTTCAAAGTCACCCGAAGCTACAATTAAGATTGCGTATCGCAATCCAAAATACATGGCGGATACTCCAAAATCCCAATATTCAAATTCTAACCGCTGTGATAAGCTCCGCTCATAAGCAGCGTTTCCTCTTATTTGCTTCTGGCCTAAGTAGGATTTTTAAATTAATTAGTTCCCTTCGACAATTTGAAAAGCACAGAAAAAGAAGAAAGCAGCTAGATGCATACATTTCGTATGGGCTCCTCAGTACCCGTGACCCACATGCATATTTATCCCTAACACATTGAGTGCGACCAGACAAGCCCAAGGTGCAGAGTGCATGATGAAATCTCAGCCTCTACGTCCAGGACAGCTTTAAGCTGACGAACAATTGTTTTTGAACACAAAAGGCCGGCTTCATCCGGTTTATAGCGACCGCCTCAACAACCTGAAGGAATTTAGGAATTAGTGTGATGCAATGCCACTGAACGCTGAGCTGAGATCTGTCCGATGACCCGATAGCACTAGTTGCTTGCCAATCGAGGTAACCGGTGACCTACGTGAGCACGATGAACCCCTTTCGGCACACGTTCCTTCATTCGTGAAGTCGTATAGTCCTATCAGTTTTACCTGTGTAACTGCCTTCGCAGTTACACATAAATTGGTATACACAATAAGAGTTGGCCCCGATAGGCTGCGATTCCTTTATTGGAGGGACAGGCAAATTTCGGCTTGGGTTGATCACAACGAGTTTTGCAATGTAGTAACATCCTTGCGTTGCTGAAAGAATGCGAATAGTTGTCTACAGCTTGTTGAAATCACCTTCTTGTTGGCTGTCATGTGCACCAAGTTCCTCGGCTCTCCCAGCTGACTCTTTTTCGACAAATCATCGAAGATGGCCGTTCTCCGTAAGCCTTGTTGTAATTGAACTTATCAGTGAAACAGTCAGCCGAGCAGATTACTCCGGTACGACTAAATAAGGTCTTCACGAGTGTCCGCTCGTACCACACCTGTGTGCAACTGGTGAAGTGCAATTACTGGCCGAATTCAGTTGCCTTTCCGTAAACAGACCGCTTAAATAAATCCATCCATTTCACAATTGATGAGGATATCCAGGTATGACGGACAATTTTACTGTTCTACTTCGCAGGTGACCAGTAAGTTGGTATGTGCTCAAAAATAAAGCGCTCTACCAGCTGCTCTACCTGCTGCTGCGATGAACGAAATACCAAGATCTCATCCAAATGACATTTATACTGGGGTACTTGGGTTGTTTCATTCGAAACGAGGTCAGTGCCTAGTGGGCCGCCCATTGCTACCCGATCCACTTGGCGGTACGGTATGTTCTGAAACTGATAGCCGTGCACAGTAGCAGTGATTCTTTTAACAATTTGAGCGGAAGTGGTAATGAACAGCCAGTAGGTACAGCTACTTCTTATGTAATCAACGATCTAATGTAGTGGAACGTTAGTGAACAAGGATTCCACACCCAAGAAACACATAACCTTGTCAAATAGGTTGATTTCATCCACGTCCTTAATGAATTAGAATGAGTCCTTACCACTGTACGGATTGACCGGTTGTTTCAACGACGAAAACGCTTTCACTACCCATACTGAAGCATGTTCACCATTGAGAGAATCAGCCGCAGTGACACTCCGCTCTTGTGTATTTTCGGTGACCCCTACAACTTCGGAGTGGTGCTGCGACTCTGCTTCAAACTGTTACAAGTGATGCTATCCATCCATGGAAGAAAAGCCATTTAAAAGAACGTGCTATGCGGGTTTCGATTCCGAGCCAGCCCTTAACAAGCTTGTCTTGTAATCTGACGGCGCGGGTTCGAGCCTGCGTAGGGGCAGGGCGACCCTCGCAGTATCCCTAGCCCACGTGCAACTGGTGGTGGTTGCGCGGTAGCAAACCGTCGATACTACGCACCGACGCACGGCTGATGTCTTTTCTCCGATTTCGACTGTCCCCCGTTTTCTTGAATCGTTCAAATTTACTCATATTGTTGAGTATGACGCACCTTTTCTCAGCATATTCGCCCTTGTTTTTAATTACCACTCCAGGGCCCTTATCGGGTTTCATTATGACCACCTTCTTATCACGTAATTCACATAATGTCTGAAGGTATCGGTTTGTGAGAGCACATTTTTCACTAATTGGAACCATCTTAAATTCATAGGCGATATCAGTTAACTAGTTTCTGAATCAAATAAGCTGAACTTGCTCCGCAATTACAAACTGATTGGTGTACCCAGTGCGTGCGGTTTGTCCTTTTCACAACTTTTCATTCGCGTGACTTTCTGCATCAATGGCTACATTCTACCTCTAGTTATCATGCAAAGATCCTGTATCCGACGATTTCGGCTGTTTTTGCGTCATTCGGCCATATATATATATATATATATATATATATATATATATATATATATATATATATATATATATATATATATATATATATATATATATATATATATATATATATATATATATATATATATATATATATGTCTTCTTTGCTGCCGCTATCAAAGTTGGGCCTCTACACGCGACATGGTATTCAAACACGGTTGAAGCTCTTTTTCTAAGTTCTTAAATTCTTTTTTCCGCGTGATTTCTGCTTTACATTGTCACACGCTATTCATTGTCCTTGACATCTGTTGACGCACATCTAAACGTTTTTCCCAACCTATATTGCCGCCTCAGTAAATTGGTTCTTTTATCTATGAGACATCGCGCAAACTAACGTGGTCATTGTGGCGTAACCTTGTATTCTATCTCTAATGTTGATTTCGGATAGTGTATATTTTCTGACCGAAATAATTTTGGTTTGTAACTCGGCTAGCTTTTGGGTTAATTTTAAAAGTGCAACCCTAGTCACTTTACGCCAGTGTTTAAATAACCGTTTACGCCGCTCATACCGTCTCTCACCTTGCGTTCGTATCTAATGCAGTCCATTTCTCGCTACCCGACTGTTTCAGGCACTTACAGCCGAAAAGCAGCGGCTGGAACAGCAGCGAGTCGAGGAGCAGCGCATGCGCGAGAATGCAGAGGCAGCTCAGCGTCGTCTACAGATGGCCGCTACTCTCCCATCTGAACCGCCTGATTCAAGCACCCCAGCTGCGGAGGCATTTTTAGCCTCTTTACGTGGTTCAGCTGGCATTGCGTCCCTGCGCTTTCGCCTTCCCCGCAACCATACTTGCCCTTCCACCCAAGTCAACGGAGTAGTGAACGGCTTTCTCGTTCGGCGTTTTGCCGGCTCTGATAAGCTTTCAGCCGTGTTCGCCTTCATGGAATCTCAGGGCTTCGCTCTATCTGAGTATAAATTGTTAACAACATATCCTCGCAAAGATGTAAGCAGCTTTTCTACACGTATCTTATAACAATTCTGTTCATGGTTTGTTTCGCTTGAAACTACCTCCATGATCTCCCTACTTTGCAGTTGGTGCATTTGAGTGCACTTGACCATCCGATATGCCTATTGACGTTTAGAAAACCGATCCTCAACAACGTTCCGATTTGCAGGTTTATGGGGATCCACCACTTTACAGTTTGTCCTCGTGGTTATTTTTATCATTTGTTCTGCATCTGTGCAGTTTATTATAGCCAGTATTGTCTTCAGACAATATTCTATCTGCGTTCTGTAACAGATACGTCTGTCGAATTCACTGTGATTCGGTTTTCTACTTCAATCTCTATTCCTGCTAGTCTCGAGTTCGGTACCAACATCATCTATCGTGTGATTTGTTTTCATCCAGAAAGTGTCGGTTGTATGAACGATCATTCGCAAGATGTTCCCATTGCACGGAAACTCGCAAGTGGGATTTTTTACTTATTAGAGTCCTTAGTTTCAATATGTATGTGTTAGTTTTAAAGGCGGAGGTATTGCTCCCCATGGATCATAGAGAAACACCAGTCGTGTCGTGGGGATGACTCGCAGAACTTGGCGCTTTTGTGTACACGACCCATCGAGCGTCTCAGGTCACCTATCTTCGCGCCATCCACCAACCACCGGTGCCACAGTGTTTCTGTCGCTAGTTACTTACCGAATTCGCAAAAATTAATTCTAGCAGATCTCGCGGTACTTGAGTAGAACAAGTGTTAAATCACCAAATCCGGTATGTTAACTGTGGTCCGGGTACCGAAAAGTGTTGGACCAAGTCGATTGACGCAAGTAACCTTAGACGAAGGATTACGATAGTAGAGGGGAAATAAAAGGCATTTCCCAGTGATTAGAACCTAATTCGGCAGGATAGTTCGATGGGAGACTATCGGTTAGGAGCAAGGTACCGGATTGTCTTGTACCCTTAGCGTGGTGTTAGGGCCTGTTTGGTGCGCTGGCGCCTCAAATGTCTCTAGGTCACTGGGTAGAGGCTAAACAACCTCCGTCCCCATATCCTCCCCATAGAAGATTCGGTGGATTCTGTGCTCCTCTTCTTTCAAAAACCGTCCTTGGAAAACGATGGTGTACGGGTCATAAGCTCGGTTTAGTTGGCATAGCGCATGTGCTTTGAGTCGCCTCCGGTGGTAGGGGTACCTATCCAGTTGCTTCTCCCCATGCGGTTGACGATGGTTTCGGATGTATCATCCGATGCAGTGGGAAAACTCACAAGCTATTCTAAAGCCACAAAGTTTGTATTTGACCATCTTATGTAGATCCCCGATAGACTGCAGTCCGCACTTTGGGGCTGGGCATGCTTCGTGGTAAGACCATTTGGACCGGAGTTCTGGGTGGTGTCTTCCATGTAGATCTTCATTTTTCCAGTCTTTATGCGTCAGACGTTTGGATCAAACATTAGGTGTGGGACTCATTCAAAGCATGCCCCTCTTTCAGAATAGAAGGGATGACAGAATTCGCCACCTGAAATACTTAGCCGCCGGTGCTCACCCCTTCCCACTTCTAACCTTTTGGAAATCCCCTCATCTTAGGTTACAAAGTTGCCGGTTCGTTCAGAATTCCCCAACTGGGGCTAAGAGATGGTCTCGTTTTACATCGTCCATTCCGGAGTATGTACATTGGGTCGGATCGGTCAGCAAACGTTACTGGTCTCCACTCCGCACGCTTGAAGTGTTTCCGAAGGGCGCGTGCAAGCAAGTATTATTGTAATGCATCTTAGACTCCTTTGCTGTTATTCTAATAACCTGCATGCTTTTGGCACCCATGACGATTGATAATCTGCTGTCACTTAACCGCAAACCGCAGCCGTATCCCTCGGTCTTGGCTTCAAAATGCCATCTCCTCAGATGCATACTGGTTTCGTCGACGCAAACGTCGTGCATCAATATAGTCACCTTGTTTTCTTGACTTCAATCTCACTTTTTAATGACGTCTGGTTCAGAAACAAACTACTGAACGTGTCACATAATTTTTTAAATGCTCCAATACAGCAGCGAATATGCCTCCACGCAGATCAATATAATGCACTCCGTGAGCTGGTCTGCCGATGGCCGAAAAAACAAAGCTACGGCGTTGCAACCCGAACATCACCCGTTCGAGCCTGCGTAGGGGCCCGGGCGACCCTCACAGTATCTGGCGATGGTTGCGTGACAATGAAGCTTCGATACAGCGTACTTACAAACTGTTGATCCCTCTTATCTAAGCATCATCATCATCATTATACACGTCAGCTAGAGGTGGGAAACCCCTCAGCTACTGTGCCGCAATACATAAAGGAGAAGGAAAATAAATACAACAGTTGCATGCCAGCTGAGCTACCAGCAACGGATAGGCATCATTCCGGTAAGCTACCAGCCAGCTACTAGACAAAAAGCAAAATTATGTTTTACGCTACGAAATGAGATCGTAGGTGGAGGGGGAGGCTAAAAGGGATGGGAAGGGACAAAGAAACTCACAGCAGGAACGCCACTGAGGTCGGCTCCTTGCCATGTCAGCAAGTGTATCCAGCCAAACGTGTTCACCGTCTTTTGCACCCCAACCAGGTAGCCGTGACGCTTCAACTGAGACCAGCTCCGAAGTGAGGGCCTTCATTCCTCTGCACCAAGTCATCGGTTGGCCACCCCTCTTCTTCCATCCACATCCCCGGTGAGCAAACAACGCACGTCGCGGAAGTTGGTGGGCTGGCATGCGCAACACGTGGCCCAGTCATCGGAGCCTCGTGCGTGAAATGCCGGTGCTGAGCGGTTCAGTTCCTTTTCCTGTGCCGTAAACAAGGCGTCGAACACGCTCGTTACTCACGCCGTGTTCCCACCAGATGTGAGCCAAACTGCGAATGCACCGATGGTCGAAGGTAACTAGCCTCTTCATGTCCGCCGATCTTAGGGGCCAGGTTTCGCAACTGTACAATAAGGTCGAACGTACCGCTGCATTGTACACTCTACTCTTCAGGGCGAGAGTAATGTCGCGCCGTCGCCATAAGTGGCGAAGGTTAGCAAAAGCACTTCGAGCTTTTGCTATACGGTTAGGGATCTCGTCTTCAATCCCAAGGGTTCTGATGCAACTTCCCAGGTAGTTGAATTTCTGAACGACTTCTAGCTGATCCCCACCAGGGATCAGCGCAGGAGGCGATCCCTGCCAATCTTGGAGGAACGCTTTAAATTTCGATGGTGCAAAGCAAAGCCCGAAGCGATTGACAGCCAGTGCTAATCTGTCCAGAGCCGTTTAGGACGTCTGGGAGCTGTCACAGATGAGGGCAATGTGGTCTGCATACTCCAAGTCAAGAAGTCGTTCTCTTGGGAGTAGCTCCACACCTTCCAAGTTATGTCCTGTAAATGCAATCTCCATGACTTCGTCAACAGCGAAGTTGAATAGGAAAGGTGACAGCGAGTATCCTTGTCTCACGCCGCTGGAGATATTGAAGGGTGGTGACAGCTTGCCGTAAGCCCTCATTCTGCCCGTGCTACGCGTGTATAATGCTTGGATAATATTTACATATTTCTCGGTCACACCTTTCCTGAGTAGGCGATTCCAAAGGTCACATCGATCAACCGAATCGAAGGCACCTTTGATGTCGAGGAACACGACAACGGTGGGCCGCGAATATGTATGACGGTTCTCCAACAACTGACGCAAGGTGAAGATGTGGTCGATTCAGCCACGACCCCGACGAAACGCGGCTTGCTCCTCACAAATCTGGCTTTCACGAGCCCCAGGCAGTCTGTGAAGAATTATAGAGGCGATGGAGATCAGACTGATTCCTCTATGGTTGTCGCATTCCGAGCGCGAGTCGCCTTTGAAGATGGGAACAATAACGGAGCGGCTCCAGTCGGTTGGGACAGTCTCCTGCTCCCACAGTTTCACTAGTAATCCATGTAAAGCATCAACAAGAGTAGAGCCTCCTAATTTGAAGAGGGCTGGAGATAGATCATCTGGTCCCTCGGCTTTGTTCAACTTCAACAGTCCGATCTCACGTTCGACTTCTGAGCGAGAGGGTGGATTCGAAGGGACTGCCCACGGAGCAGGGCGATCAGTGACCGGCGAATCGAACAATTCTAGCCGATTAAATTGCTTTTCAAAATGCTCAGCCCAACGCTCCAAACGTTTTGACAAATTGTGGATAGGCTGTCCACTCTTGTCACGTATGGTTTCATTAACACCGGGCCTCCTGCTGCTCGTTTCCCGTATCAGACGGAATAACTTACGATGGTTGCCAAGGGCAGCGGCCACTTCCATCTCTGACGCACGATGAGACCACCAAGATTCGCGGTCCCTCCTCAGGCTAGCACGGAGTTTTGCCCGGAGCTCTTTGCGAGTTTCATTGTGTTCGCTTCCAGCCGGGATATGCCGGCGAGCGTCGATAAGTTCCAGAGACCACGAAGAGACCCAGTATCCATGTTGGCTATCAGACATACCACATGAGGATTTGCCTGCTGCTTGTAACGTCTGGCGAACATGTCACCAGTGACCATCAATTGTCTCCAGTGAGCGCTTACTCAACTCGCATGTCAGCGTACTTCGATACGCATTCAGAACAACTGGCTTTGTCAGTTGGCTGGTGTCAATGCGCTCACAGCGTCGTCATGGGCGTTCGCCAAAGCGCATCCGCATGTCAGCACACACAAGTGCATGATCGGTGTCCACACATGTGCTCCAAATCGAGCGACAATTCTGGATGCAGCCTCCCCAGCGGTAACTAATAGCAATGTGATCGATCTGCGTCCAATCCTGGTGGGCGCCAAGTCACCCTCCGGCGGGTGCTGTGTCGGACATTAGTGCTCGCAAGAAATAAGCGAGCATCCTCACACAAATGAAGTAACCGCTCACCGTTATCATTACGGAAGCCTAGACCGTGCTGACCGCCCAAATGCATTTCATCAGTGGACAACTTTCTAACTTGTGCGTTCAGATCCCCCGCCAGCACAACAGTGTCCGTGCTTCTTCTGTAGCGAAGGAGCTAGATCAGTTGGCGGTAGAAGTCGTTCTTTACCGAATCATCGCTACAGTTTGTGGGCGCGTAGGCAGCGATGATGAATAGACACCTATTATTCCCGCGCGACTTCTAAGCTTTAAACGAGCCAGCCACTCGGACCGCACACATCCGGCTACTGATTGGAATCCAATCAACCAGAGCAGCTTTAGCCCGGGGACTCAGGGCAATGCCAACACCAGCTTGGCTGGTGCTCGAAGCTGCATCGTCACCGGACAGGCGCAATGAGAAAGTGCTGCAGGTGTCACCTGAAGGGGATCGCAGAGTGAGCACAGAGCTCGAGTCTTGCAGGCGGGTCTCTGATAAGCAGCAGATATCGATCGAGAGGGTCTCCAATGTTCGGGCAAGTGCTGCCTGTTGACCGAGCTGTAGTAATATGCGTACAATGAGGCATGCCAATCTGAAGGAGGATCGAGGGCTCCAAATGGAAGCCGATGAACTGGAATGGACCGCTTGGTTGGACCTGGGCTTGTCGACAGGAGATGTGTGACGCTCCGCGTTAGCATGTGAGTTGCAATTAGAAGGTAAACGCCTAGCAAAACATGTTGGAGGAGGGCCAAGGATCGGGGGTTGCAAACTGGGGTGATAAAACTGAAGTTGGTACAGGACGGTAAGAGTGAAAAAGCGTAAGATGGGGAATATGAAGACGGGAAAGCTTGAGCGTTAGCATCCAAACCCCTATCCACCATGCTCGATGCAGCAGATAAGGCACCGTTGATTATCCTTTGCGGTGGTCAGAGCATCAAAAAACTGTTTGAAGAGAAATTCATTGTATTGCGTGGGCTGGATACTGTCAGGTTGCCCAGGCCTAGACAAGAGAACGATTAGGGTTCTCAACCAAAGCCTTTGGTTCAAAAACCTGACCGCAAGGCAGCGGGTTTGGCGTTGGACTACAAGAAGTCCGTTTTAAGGAATAAGGAGCCACCCTCATTCTAACCCCCAACCTGGAGGGCCAGGAGGCTGAGTTTGTCTAGCCTCTAACCATTGACCAATCTGGTATGAGTGACTGAAGGTGCAAAAGCACCACCCAGTGTAGCTCAATGGATCGCTGAGGCACACAAACCATCGCACCACGGTAAGGTACAGCCTCATTGCGACGTAAGCGGGGACGTATGAAAGCTGTGGCTGATTTAAAGTTTGACATGGTTTCCTGAGTGGTTTTTTTCGGCAGTCCAAGTTATCAGCTCAAGATGAAAGAATACTGTCGGACACTACAAAATTAAAGAATCCTCCCACTTATCAGTAAAATTCAAATCAGATACCAATTTCGACGCACTCCGGTGGGTCGGGAAGCCGTTGTTTTGGGAATTATTAATCTTACTGCACCATGGGTTCATTCCAAAGATGAATATTAAGCTCTTAAACCAGTGGGCACACACACTCTTCACATCTAGGGTCTACCAAACCAGTAAGTCAAGATCATCTATACTTGACCGTGGATGGTCTAGTCCCATCAGTGTGAAGCGTCTTAAACTCCGACGGACCATTTCTCAACAATCGAAAACACATCTTCGCCGTGATCGTGAATCTTGATGGTCCAAACGAGCCACGGAAATAAACTTGCTTTCGCTGCTGGAAACACCCGCAGATTATTTTATCTCATCCGATCCACTGGATGCAAATCACATGCCCTCAGTGAGACAACCTGCGCATCAGACGGTACGAAGATCACTAACCTACGCAAGTGTCTGGATCGCTGGACAGAGCACTTTGTTTTTCAATTGGATTATTTAACTGAATCATCGGTGACATCACCTTTGCTCTCATGTTGTTCATGGCTTATGTGCAGTGATCTTCCCACGTAGGCATAGCTTTGGAGGGAAACCCTGACTCTGCAACGATACAAAACCCCAGACTCTGGCAATCTTCCTGTAGCCCTATTCCATTCTAGAATGAATACAGTTGTTAGCGAACTGCTCTCGCTTTTCAGAAAGGTGTGGGTCGACGCAGAGATTCCTAACTCTTAAGGTGAATCTACCGTGGTCCTGATTTACACGGAAGGCTCCCGCAGTGATTGCGTCTATTATTGCTCCGCAAAATTTCAGCTATTCAGGTAGGTTTGTCTCGTGAAGAATAAGCTCGTTTTCGTACCGGTCGAGGTTACATCCACCATGATATATATATATATATATATATATATATATATATATATATATATATATGGTGCAGCTAATCACCATGATGTATTCGCCGTACCACGTTATTTCTAAACGACTGAACTGCACGTGAGAAGCTCCATAGTAAAGCACCATCGAACATCTTCAGAGTATTTCCCTATTTTAAAGATAAA